TAGGGTTGTTAGGGTTTAGGGTTTTTATGGTTTAGGGATTTAAGGGTTTAGGGTTTTCAGGGTTTAGGTGGTTTTCAAGGTTTAGGGTTTTTAGGGTTTAGGGTTTAGGGCTTTTAGGGTTTAGGGATTTTAGGGTTTAGGGATTTTAGGGTTTAGGGTTGTTTAGGGTTTTTAGGGTTTAGGGTTTTCAGGGTTTTTAGGGTTTAGGGCCGTTTAGGGTTTAGCGTTTTTAGGGTTTAGGGTTTTTAGACAGGCGAACCAAGGTTTTAGGGTTAAGGGGTTTGGGGTTTAGGGTTTTTAGGGTTTAGGGTTTCAGGACTCAGGGTTTTTAGGGGTTAGGGTTTTTAGGGTTTAGGGTTTTTTGGGGTTTAGGGTTTTCACGGTTTAGGGTTTTTAGGTTTAAGGTTTTTAGGGTTTAGGGTTTTTTACGGTTTAGGGCATACCCACGCTATACCTCCTACTTTTGGACTGAAAGGGGCGGCGAACACTACAATCTCAGAGTCACAGCTGCCTCTCGAAGAGGTGTTGATCGACTTTCGGAACCCATAGATGCAGGGTTAAGGGTTAAGAGTTTACGGATACAAGAACTGAGTAATGCCTCGCGGCGCCCCCACTCGTATACACCCACGCCCCCCCTTACCCGTACACATACATGAGAACATACATACACCACGAATTCGGGTTGACGGGGGAGGGGGGGAGGGGGGTGGGCCAAATACTGCACCTGCCAACAGTTCGGGACCAATAGTTACAACTAAGCAAAAAAAATGTGTTACAACAAAGCAAAAAAAAGTTACAACTAACCCAGCTACCAGCCCTGAAGACCTTCGTGGACAAGAAAGGCAACATTGAAGGCGCTGGTGTCACGTCCTGCGTCATACACTTCGTGTCAACACCAGCTCACTATGCAGGTTCCAGGAAACCCTCCGTCAAGGCTGGGGTATAGGCATCAGGCAGAAAGATGGCTATCAGTGGGAGAGTCTGCACACTTTCGGCTAATGTGAAGAGGGAAGCGTGGGAGGCAGGCAGCTACACGCAACGTGCCACTGGGGGAAGTGCGCGGTGTGCTCGCGGCCGAAACCTTACTCTCAAGCATCTACAGCACTGCACTGGAATCTGTTCTGGCCCAGGCCTGCAATTTCGCACCTAGTTGGCTGCTGCATGCCTGGCAAAATGAATGCAAGTCATGTAGGCCGAATGAGAACTCACTTTCATGCTTGCTCAGGACCCTGCTCTGGAGAGCTGCAAGCAACAGCCGGCCGGCACCTGATCTTCAACTCACTTTGCTGTAGCGCTTCGATAGCGACCCGACCTGAATGATCTCTGGACGCCCAGCTCGAAGACGAACACCCCAGAACTTCCTACTCGACCGACGTTCCATGCCATGAGGCCAGGTGCGTCCAAAAAAAGCATGTCTTAGCTTCCCTTGCACTGGCCAATTTGAAACTATTGAGGTTGCAAAAAGGCCTACCAATTGACATGCCGGAAAGAATGCATTGCCCGGTTCGAAGCTGCTACTCTCAAGGAAAGGCGTATTTGCAGAAAACATAATGTGAATTCCTCGGCACGGGAAGCGATAGTCGACGAACCTACTGCCTTGTGGGTATTGCTGATCGATGCGCGTTGCTGCTGAATCCTCTGCGGCGTTGAGTATAATTGCCACGTACCTGCATGATTTCCTCGCTCATGGCCCTGTCTCACTGTGGCGGTGGCCTTTGCATGGATCTACTGTATCTTGATAGCTTGACACAAGTCAACGACCCATCATAACTTTTCAAAAAAAACATCGCTGAGCCGCTGAGCTGTTGTACTTGTTTGGGGCGGCTGAGTTGCAGTAGCAACGGATGATTTTCACTAGGCGCTGGCAGGCACACAGTATTCGGAACTGGGGCCCCGCTTTAGGGACAAGGAGCAGCAGCCCCTGCCAGGAGGTCAAATAACCCTTCGCGCCCTGCATTGACAAGTTGAAGCAAATAATTTGAAGTTGTCCAATCTTCAACCAGTTTAAAAGGCGTGATACCGCCGCATGCCGCATCGACCATCGCCCCGTGATCTTCACAAAGCGAGATGCATTTACATCTCATGGGCTGGCGGGTGAGTCCGGGTAAGTTTGGGAAAGTGTGGTTTTCATGCGGCCGGATAAAAGCCGATGGTGCAACACAAATTTGCGGCGTGGTTGTAAGCCCACGGAACTTAGCAGCAGAGCCGCATTTCTGCTGCGGTGCTTGGTGCTCCCAGGCCCTCTGTACAATACGCAAGTGCCAGCCACCTGTGCATGACCTTCTTGCTCACGCCTGTCTCTCCCTCATGCTGTTCCAACTGGGAAAATCCATTGTCTGACTGCAGATCCTGGCTCCAACATCACCTGGAAGTGGACGCAGCTACCTTCAAAGCGGACTCCCGAACAACCGTTCAGGCATCATGAAGACTATTCACTTGCCGCTCGTCATTGAGCTCAAGCAGCTTTCTCGGAGGAGTCGCTGCCAATCTGGTGCGTCTGTGCCCAGTGGGGCCAGGGGGGCCAGGACATCAATGAAATCCTGCGGTAGTGGGGTGAAAGCTCTGACGGCCCCTTCAGGACCCATAGCTTGCAGCGCAAGGCAATGAAGAGGCAGCCGCTGACACCACGTCGTGGCTCCATACTTCACATCACCCAGTAGGGCATGCCCAATGTGCGCCATATGACAACGGATCTGATGAGTCCCTTGGCTAGATATTCCTGGAGCTCTCTCATGCTCTCTGAACAGGCCATTGCAGGGGCTCTCTTGCAAGCGAGCCACTTCCCGTCTCCGGGTACACAAGAACAAGGGAGCAGCCTTACAGCTCAGTCATGGAGCGGGAACAGCATACAGAATGCAAAGAGTGCCAAGGAACTTGTGGTGGCGGAAGTCCACAGCGGCTGATAGCTGCTGCGCGCCGCCTTCGGCTAGAAATCCCAAGGAGCCCTCAAATGAGCCCTCTACCTGCTGCCCCTCGTCTTCCCGCCTTGCCCTCTGGGTCGACAAAAGCTTTGTAGCGGTTGCCGCCCCCCACTTCCAGGAGCCCCAAAGGGGCACAGACCTCACCCTTGGAGGATAAAGAACCCTCCACCAGTGCCACGTAGCATTTCCACACCTTCCAAAGCAAGGCAACTTCTTACAGTATCCTTTGGAGCGCAATCTATTCTTATCGTTTGCCCCTGGGCTCATGACACTCCCTCAATTCGCGCTGCCCCACAGATAACGTGGCCCGCGCTTGCGCTTGCACTCAATGCTTGGGAATGATAGCAACTCTCTTGAAAAAGTGTCTGCTCGAACTCAGCTGGGTTAGATTGTAAGTTGTCCTGCCGGTTGGTTCTTTGTGGGCCGGCAAGTGCCGACTTGGGTAGCCGGTTCAGAGCATACTCTGATGACGTTGCTGAAATGGGCACAGATCCCACTTAGGTAGAGTGTTCCGGGTTGTCTGCAACTTCAAACTGGAAGAGCCCCCCATGGAAACCATGCTGTCTTGCCTCCGCGGTTGCGAACTGCTTTGTGAAGAGTTCAGCACATGTGCCAGTCAATGGGATGAGGAGGCAGCCGCTGGTCTCCTTTGGTGCAGGACGCGGCAGCGCGGCGCAGCACTTTGGGGACAGGCACCCGTCCTTGTCAAGGCGGGACACCAGCTGCGCAGCAGAGCTCAGCTCCTTTGCAAAGCCTTGGACAGTTGAAGGGATCAAAGGTGGCAATGGCGGGAGATTTCATGATCTCTGGCCCTGTAATGGCACGCACAGTCATGCCTAAATGATGTAGCTGCTGTACCGTGATTTTCGCGATTCGGCATGCTTGGGCGAGATGCGGAGCGCGTCCTCAGTGCGAAGGCCACTTGGCTTGTCCAAGACCACAAACCTGAGCTGCTCTTGAGATTGACGGTTCCGAGAGCTTTATTATGGAGAGCAGCTGGTCTTCCAAGCAAGCAATCTGTGAAGTTCACTCAGATGAAACAGTCGTGTTCTTTCAATTCCTTGCAGACCTGGCACTGCGGTCGCTGGCACAGTATCGCTGGCCTCTTCGTGGGCAGAAGCGTTGGCCGCGGATCACCTAGCTCCTCGATGCTGGCATAAAGCTCGAGGCCTTTGCCTCAAGGAATCTCAGGGGTGCCAACTGAGGAAAAGCCCGCACACGCAAAGGCTGCATGCGGCTTGCCTGTGATGATGCAGGGCGCCCAGAAAGAGCCGTCGGACGTGCCAACCACCGCACCACCCAGCTTGTCTTCACAGCTTTCCAAACCTTCCACGTCGCCAGTTTCTGCTAACCTCAGCAGAGACTCCATTGGCAGCAGTCTCGCCGACAGCAGCTGCCTGCAGGGTGCCACTGTTCCACGGATGCTTCAAGTCGATTCTTTTGACAAGCGGGTTTTGACCAGCCTCATCGAGTCCGGTTTCAGTTGGATGCGGCGCTTTGTCATCTTCGATGCCAGTAGGGCAGCCCCTTCAAGGGCAGGGCGCCATCGCGAAGGCACCTCAATGCTGGTCATGAAGTTGTCGTCCAGGAGTTTGAAAAGCGGAATGCCAACCGACACCAGCAAAGGAGAACCCTGGCAAAGATCAGGGCAAAGATTGAGAGGCGGGCTCGCGGCAAAGCTGGGGCAGGGAAGACCCGTGCTCTTGTAGTGGTATATCAAAGGCTCGACTCAAATATGAAGCCCTGGTTTGAAAAGCTCTTGCCGACTGAGAATCATAACTGCAAGAAAATCACAGATTCAGCCTTGCGATTGATCAGTTCAACCTGAAGTCAAGCCTGAAACAGTGCCGGGCACCTTGCAGTTGAGGTGACATTTGAGAAGCTTCAAGAGAGCAGCATTGACTTTGTTGAGCTGAGTAAGCTTCCCCTTCGTGTTGTACTCGGCAATCAGTGGGTTCGGAATTTCCCGGAGGCCATAGAAATCCACCTGGCGCACGAATCTTGCAACCTGCAACCGGACACACAAGAGGCATCGCACAATTTGTGGCCAGGGCACAATCGACCGTATATCCGGGCTGTCTGATGGGACAACGACATAGCGGTTGTTCTCATTCCTCCACTTCGCACACAAGGCCACCAGGCACAAGTGCGAAGCCAAACAGCCCTCCTGAGGTCAATTTGTTTGTCAGCATATTGCCAGTCCTTGCTCTCCAGGGAATCTGCAGATCTTCCGGCTTCATCTGTATCTCCATCGGAAAGGACCGGTGTACTTTCTTTGCGAAGACAGCAGCAAAGAAGCCAGAGCCGTCAATCTCGTGGGGGTTCCTGACTGCATGGGCAGGGCCCAGGGGCCCACGCCCCATGGCCAAGTTAAGGGGGCGGCTTGTTCAAAAAATGTGCCAAGATTCAAACGGATACAGTGGCTTGCCAAAGATGCCGACTTTGGAGGGAACATGCTCTGGCAAATCGGCCCCTTGGGCCTGCGGCTCGAGACCGGAACATCTTCCCAGCAGTCGTAGAAGCCTCCTTGACAACAAGCGAACACAACCACCGACTGCCTTCAACTGCTCTCTGCCAAAGGAAGTTCCTCTCCTTGATTGTCTGGGACTCGCCAGGTTGTGAGGCCCCGGGCCACATGAAGCCCGGCTGCCTCGAGCCCGGCTGCTGCACCGGGAACCTGAGCACCCAGAATCACCCACGCATCATGCGCAGCACGTTGGGCAGCTCTCGCAGCTTGCTGCGCAGGCATGAATGCTTGGAGAGGCCAAGCTGCAATTTCAATGTCCTCGCTGAATCGCGCCAGGGCAGCTGTGACGACAGCCTGACCCAAAATGCGGCTTTGCAATTTACATTTGCTTTGCCTGCCATGTTGCTACTGGCCTCGTTTTCAACCGGGTTCATGCTACAAGTCGAGTAGACCAACCGCCCGCCAGGCTTGAGAAGATGTAGGCCCCGGCACAAAATCTGAAGCTGCTTGTTGTGAAGAGACATTGGGAACTCCTGAGCTGCATGAGGGTTGCTTGGGTGGCGTTCTAGCTGTCCCTGCTCTCAAGCACTGGTTTGTTGAATTACACTCCCCCCAAAATGCCTCTGCAAGATAGATCTCACTCAAGATGGACCTGTAAGTTTGAGAAACCCTCTCACTGAACAGAAAGCCGCGGCTCAATGGACCAGGTCTTCCAGCAATGCGGCCTCTTCCGCAGTGTGCCGTCCCCCGAGCAGGGCACATCGCACAGGATGCGATCATACCTTAATTTATGTGGCAGAGCAGAGTGATTGCTTTCCAAGAGTCGAAGTACAGTACCTGTTTGCGAGCCCACGCGACAGAAGCTGATCAGAAGGGCCTTGGAACTGTGCAGGGTACTTGGCAGCGCTGCCCAGCACCACGGCACAGCCTGGGTGTCGTGCCTCACATGATGATTTAAAAAAAAAACAAAAAAAAAACGGTGAAGCATCGCATGTGGCTCCTCGCCTTGCGGGTTACCAGCGGAAGCAGCTCAAAGCAGCGCTCAGCATCAGCATCGTTCGCGATGACCACCCCGGCATCCTGCGTGGCTTTGTTTAAAGCCCTGGCAAGACTCTTAACAGTTTTCTTTCCCCTGTGCCTCATCAGCCAGCTCCTCGGCCTCCCGCATGAGCTCCACGCACTCCAGCGTCTTGCTGCCTGCCCGCCCGGCCCGCCCGGCCCGCCCAATCGAGAGGATTAATCCAGGCGCCCTGCCTGGGGCAGCACAAAGGTCAAGAACCAAGTCCCGAGGCTGCACCTGCGTTCTTCTTTTTGCTCGGCTTGCTTTTCTGTCCTGTCTGATTGCTTCACTTGTGCAGGGAATTCATCTCCCACAGCCGGCTTGGCATTTGCAGCACGAGATAGCACGAGGTAAAATAGCTGAGCAATTGCGTGACCAGTCCATCTACAGTCTGCCTTGGAGATTTGGGATACAAGCTTCTGGCTTGCTGAACTGGTCGAAGCTTACGTGCAAACCATTCAGAGCAACAGACTCCTCCAAGCAGATCCTGGAATTGCTTCCCCCAAATCTGCCTCCAGTAGCAGTGGCGGAACCAAGGAAGCACTTTCCTCAGGCTCTTCTCAGACGTCGCTCTACCAATCTCGTTGGCACATCTTGCCAGCCCGTGAGCCTGGAACCGGAGCGCATAGGCCTTGTTGAGGCTGGAGCACTGTGTTCGCAAGGCATCATCATAGTCCTCCCGTGCAGGGACCGCATTACATCATCGGCTTCTTCAGCGGTGCAAGCGGGCTCCCACCTTGGGGTTGCACTGCCATGCGTGTGGAAACCAGGGCAAAGATAGCCAGCGTAAATCTCGTGCAAAAGCATCATGCAGCTCCTGCTGGGGGCAAAGTCATGGCACCCATCTACTGCTCCTACTACAAACCGTCTCCCACCTTCCAATGGGGCTTTGCGCGGTTGATGCGGATTACCACTGGCATTGGCGCTCTGAGAGTCTCCAGAAAGTCATCCCAGCATTCCTTGCATCATCTTGATTCAATCCCTGGGCTTCAGCAGATACGTAGCTGTCCTCTGCGACAATCCTCTGTGCCCTGTAGTACTCCTTTTGTCAGAACTTTTGTTCGGTCAGCCCACTGCCAGTTGTTTCGTGGACGCAAATGTGTGACATTGTGGCGGCGGTGTCTCTACGTGCTGCTATTCAAGCTTGCACCGCCATGATTGCATGAAATGAGGAAAGTTTGCCATAAGAGGCACACTACGGGTAACAGGTCATGCAGCTCCTCGAATGCCACGCTGCGAGTAGCCGTGGCCTGACCGGCAACGTTCTAAAACGCAAGCTAAGTAAGCTAAGTAACATTCTCGGCCTCAAATAATGGTTTGACTGCACTGGCTAGGCTCGGCGGGTGAAGGCAACGCTTCAAATTACCGGCCTCCTGGCGCAGCAGTCGTGACCGCTGGGCACCATGCCGCGCTGAGGCCATCAGCGTACAGACGCACGGGGCAAACAACACGGCATGTACTGTTTGTGTCACCTGCGTTTGCCATTCAGTGGGGTCATGCGCAATGCCGTGCCACGGGAGTGGAAGCATGACTACCGTGCGTGCTAGACGTTGGTAGTCCACAGTGCCAGCTGGCCAACATGCAACTGACAGTCCTTGGCAGTCAGCACAAAGCAAGAAACGACCTGGAGCAAAAGAGCAGAATGAGGTAAGCTGTCATGCCCGGGCACAGAATTGTACAAGCATATGCTCTTGACTGTCGGCGGAGAGGCAAATGCCATGAGCAGACTGATGTGCACCGCTGTGCTTTTACCAAGGCTTGCTGGAGCACAAGCCGTGGCCAACAAGAGCCCTGAAGACGTAGCGCATGCATTGCAGACGTTCAATATATTTGGGTCTTATTAGACGTATCTTGAAGTTGCTTCGGGATCTTGCTCTCAGAGAAGGCCGCCAGTAATTGGCTTGCCCTGTCGAAGAGAAACGTCTAACATGCTGGAAAGGGAAAGAAACTCGAGTGCGCCTTGGCCTCACCTGGCTGGTCGACATCTGACCTGTGAATGACAAATGCACACCACGCCCCATGTTCCCTTTTGTTGCCTTTCGGCCGCTGAGCCAGTGACCATGCACCGCCGCCTGTCAACATGCGTTATGGAAGATAAGAGCACTGCAAAAAAACTCCTCACATTAATGGCCTCCGGCAGAACTCCTCCCTGCCGGCCTTGACGTCTGTCAAACGGAATATCCACTGCTGTTTTCTGGAGGGGTAATCTCAGGGACACGGCTCTCTCCCGCCAAGCGGCGCGGGAACCTGAAGATAGAGCTAGGAGTCGATGTTGGACCAGCTGACAAATGCTAGCAGATGCTGGCAGCGCTAGGGCCTGGTTGGATTGGCTATTAACAGCCCCACCCGTTCTTCGACGTTCGTTCAGTGGCAGCCACTGGGACAGCTTGAAGTCAATAGCCAGCTTGGCGTTCCGCACCCTGTCCTCAACGGCAGAAAACTCCCAAAACAGCATGCTGCTGCCGCTCCCATTGCTGTAGCTCCTCTGGACCATAGATGTTGGCGATGGAGTATCCTGAGAACTTGTGCGTCTGGTCCAGGTTCACGTTGACACCAGCCGCGTGGTTGATAGCAGCCAGAGACTGGCCTTTCAACTGGTTCACGCGCCTGTCACACATCCCCAACCCCTGAATTCGCAGCCAGCACCTCCTGGACCAAGGAGGAAATCCACGTACTTCTGCTCGACAACCTACCCAGCATGCACGCTTGCCCACGCCACATGCTGACTTTCTTTGCGTTCTAGGGCCCAGGCTACGACTCCTGTTGGAAGCCCTGGGGGCCCTGTGGGAATTGCGCCCCTCTTTGCAGCGCGCTTGCCTGACGTAGAAAGTCAGAAGGAAAATCCAGCGGTAAACCTAATGCCTACTGCAGGTTCCTTGCTCCTCCGCCATCTTGGCTTCCTCCTTTGCTCGCTCCAGCATCTGGCAAACGGCAGATTGCATGACAGGTTGCTCCGACAATAAAGGGCAAGGCCAGGCGCGCCTCTGGACGTGCTTGGGGGCAGTCTTCGCCAGAGGGCCCGAAGTTCTGACCCTTGTAACCTCAACTGATCATAGTACACACAAATTCCACTTTACAAGCCCGGACAACTCAGGAGCTAGCCGGAGTCATAAAGCGAGCCTCTGTTTAGTCTTGCAAGCTTATGTTGACTTGCCAGGGACTCTGCGGTTCTCGGGGTCCAGCGTGCCGGGAGCATAAAGCCTCCTCGAGCAAAGGATGAATGAGATGAATTTGACGTTAACCCTATGTAACCCTATATAACCCCAGCTTACCCTACATAAACATATATATGTATATCATCAGATACATACCCCTATATATCTCCAGGTCTATAACCCTGTATGACCCTACCGGCTCTCTCCTGCCGCAGGCTGTAGAGCTGAGCCAGCTCTGGCAGGCCTTGGTCCAGCAGGGTAGGATCTATGGAAATTATACAGCGTTCGGGGGTTTAGGGATTTAGAGGTTACAGGTTTAGCCTGGCGCCGTTTTGGAGGTTACTACTTCCTGGGCGTTGGCAGGGGAAACGGAAATAGAATGAATCCCCACATAATCCCCCTACACGACCTCTATCACACAGGGATCATGTAGGAATTATGATACATTGCAGCTAAGTGAATTGGGATTACATAGAGAATATATTCCCTTGTTCCCTACTACCTGGACCCCAAGAGTAGATAAAACAGTAGCCCAAATTCCCTTAAGACAGCTCAAAAGGCTATCATTCTACATACTTTCGGAGTTCAGGTAGACCCCCATGCAGCAAGTCGGAGGTCTGCCAGGCCGCTGGCATCATGGAGGGCATTGCCCCCGAGCGGACAGCCGCTAGGATCTCCTTTCACGGGAATGTCTATGGAACTTAACGATCCCCAATTGGGGGTCCCTACACTAGGGGTACCATTTACCCCTATAATGGAAAAGAAAATGGAAAATGAAATGGAAACTGGGGTTATATAGGGTATATAGAGATTAGGATTTCCCAAAGTAGGGGTACCTTTTTGGGGGTCCCTATAATAAGGATCATAATATTTTGGAGTCTATATTGGGGTCCCCCTATTTAGGGAAACTATATAGTCCCCCTTAAGTAGATAGAATATGGGGAAAAGAAGGTTTAGGGTTAAGGGGTACTATACTATAGTCCCCCTTAAGTAGATGGAATATGAGGTATATGGAGGGTCTTACTATAATATACTCAAAGCCATGCTCTATCTACTTAAGCGGGACTATAGGTTATTGGCGTGAAGCCCTGGATGCGCAGCCCGCAATATTCGTCCACTAAAGTCCCTTACTCCATTGTCCTTATATACTCCCTAGAAGCCCTAGAATGTGAAACTTTACCTACATGATCCCCAAAAAATAAGTGTTACAGGGGGATTCTATGGAAACCAGAACCTTTTCTTTAGAATCCAGGCCTCGAAGGACTGGATTCGAACCCGCTGAGGCGGTGCCGCGGGTACTATCTGGTCGCCTCTTCCGCGACCTGTTTGTCGTGTTGGCGAATTACTACCCGTGACATTCGACCACTCAAAACACGATGCAGCAACAAATCTTGCCAAAGTGGCTGCCGCTCCGACTCTTGCTGGCTTCTCGGCGGCCTGCAAACCGTGGCGCCGGACAAAGGAGAGAAAAACAAAGAACTGCTCAAACACGGCTCAAGATTTTCTGCAGGCGCAGCCGCACAGGGAGATAAGGTTGTTCTCCGGTCCAGCATTGAACCGCCCCAACGGCTTACAGACCGTAGATCTCAATAGAGCAAGGCGCCGCCCATGGCGTAAGAGACGAGTATGTACAAAATGGAGTGAGACATGAAAGTAACCTATGTGCCCTCTTCTCGCAATTCCTTCTCAATCCCTGCCAAAAGGTCCCGCTTCTTCTGCAAGCGGGCCTTCCTGGTACCTTGCAGCTGTAAGCATGATGAACTACAATGTTTAAATTCGCTCCTCTGACTAGGACTGTGCTGCTACTGTTTCTTCCACTTCTGCTTCTTGATGGTTAGTGAGGTCCTGCCTTCGTCGCCCTCCAGGCTGTTTTGGCCGTAGACATCGTAGCCATCACTGCCTTCACGAGCCTCAAGGAAGGCGAGCAGAGAAGAGGTTGTGGGATGCCCTACCTTTTTGTGTCATCACGGTTCGGGTGCAGTTCTGTGCGGTTTCATTGCTTTAGCGCTTTGGCTTTGAGGTTCTAGCTGGCTTCAAGGCTTCAACATGCAGATCATTCTGCAGGAACTTCAACATCTTGACAGTCTGACCGCAGCCAGCTAGAGCAGCCATCCAGGAGAAGTGTTGAGAATACGCGGCTCATGATTTCCGGATGTAGGAATCTTTTTTCCCCGCATGCAACAGGGCTCCGCAAATCCGTGATCTATGGCGTGGACTTTTTCCCCCTCCGGCTTGGCTGGGTTCTGGGTTTTTCCCTAGCAGTTGGCTGAGTACTGCAATGAAAGCCACGGCAAGTTAATCCCCTCAACTGCAGCACAATCTTCACAGCAGCCACAACAATCACCTGAAACAGGGTGTTTAGGGTTTGAGGTAAAGCCTTTCAGGGCTTTGCGGTTTGAGGCCTGAGCGTTGCGATTTGGGCCGTCTGGATTGCTGCAGCTTGCATGGCAAAAGGCAATGCCAGGCGACTTAGGATGTGAGTTTCCAGGCTTGAGGCGCGGCAAGTCAAGGAGTTTCTAAGTGCACTACCGGCCTCGAGACTGTGCTCATCCGAATGCCCCAGCTGTCTCAGCTCCTCTTCGTGCCTCGCCTTTAACTCCTCTTCCATTATCCGGAACTTCTCCTCGAAGTCCCGTTTTTCCTGGCGCACCTCAATCTTCTTGTGCTCCCGCTTGGCTTTTGCAAAGCTCGTTAGCTTGCCAGCTTCCAGGCGCTTCTGCTCTTGAAGGGCCTCAAATCCGAGAAAGGCTTGCTCTTTGATAATTCAGATCCCCAACTTCCACTCCAAGTCCAAGGCCTTGAGCTCTCTCTTATGCCGCTGAAGGATTTTTCCTCACAGAAACAGCACCCAAACGTGCATTGAGCTTCAAAACATTGGCCTCCGCCGTCATCCCACTTGGCTTCTGTTAGCCGCACCTAGCCGCCTAGCAGCAAGCAAGGTCCTCTTCCGGGTCTCGCCTCATCCTCTGAATCGCTTGAGGTGCTCATTGCTCTCCACGATGAGAGTTTTAGTTGTCGACTCTACCCAGCCCTATGTCCTGCATGCAAGTTTGTCCTCTTTCACGTAGTCTATAACAGGGTTTGGCATGATCCTGTTGCCGCTTTGCGGTTCTCAAGTTAGGCTAGGAGTTTGCAGGTGCCACAAGCAAGTGGCTGTTCCAAAGGTCTGCAGCAAAGGCCCCTGAAGGAAATAAGCATGCCTACAAGTTTGAACCAGAGCCTGGCAATCACATACTTGCAATTTGAAAGTCAGAATCATAAACTCTTGCAAGAACTGGGGATCTGCCCCTAAACCTGCCGTCCTCATGGCATCTTCTTTTTAAAGCAGCTGCACCAGGCCGTGAAAAGCTTCAGCCCATGCTCGATCTGCTGCATCTTCAGTCTGCACCAGATTAGGTGAGGACATCCTTCACCAGGACGGGGAAAGCCTAAGCCTTCCTTTCTGCGAATCATCCCACCACGCAAGCAAGCACAGAAAAAGCACACGAACTTACTAGAGTTTGGAGCACACCTGTCAAGTTGAAAGGGCGGCCAGGCAAAGAATAGTGTAGCAGGTTCTTGAAGTTGAGGCTGTCAAAGGTCATCACGACAGGCCTGAGCACCCCTTCTGCCATGCCTAGCGCAATTCAGCGCGGGTCGGCTCAGTGGGTCTGAAATTTGCTTCTAGGACTTCCTTGCCGTATCAAGCTTCGCATCTCACGGCAGCGCTGCACTAGACAGCCCTGCTTGTAGTCTGCAAAGACGACAAAATTAGGACTTTGTTTACGCATGGCGAAGTGTCCCATTCATCAGGGACATGGCGCCAGCACACTCAGAACACAGGCCCTTGAATTTACTTGCCCCCGTGCTCTGGTCTGTCAGTACATTGAAACAGGTATGTCGCAAAGGCCCGTGGTTGAACATTTGCCCAACTTGGGCAGGCTCTCGCCCACCCGAGCTACGTCTGAAAAGTTGATTTGACTGGCTGCGGTCTGGAGCTTGAGCTTTGTAATAAGAAATGGGTCACATAAATTCTTGATTCCAAAACCATCAGCTCCGCCTGCAGCTCACATCAAGCTGCAGGGCCAATGCCTGAGTACTGCGTGAGACAGGAACATGTCGGCCCCCTCGAGCCCAACAAAAACCAGAGGAATAAGAAAACACATGAAAGCAGTGAGAATAGCAACAATGTTATCAGTAGTTGGCTAAACAAGACTGATGATGATGCTGGCAATACGAACTAGATCTTCTCATCTAAGGTGTGGAGCACCCAGCTCACCTCTTTCAAGCCCAGAGTCGCTTCGCCGGCTTTTCGGGACGCACCTTGCGGGCGAAGATTCCAGACTGCTGCCTGGGCGATGCGCTTTGCCTGCAGGGTCAGGAAATGGGGGTGGTCCCGGTCGCGAAGCTTAACTTACTGGTGGTCATCCAGGACTAGAGGATACTAGAGGAATAGATTGTTCAGTCGTCTCGTCTATTGTCCCTTACAGTAGTCCCTTCCTGGATTCCTTATTCCTATAAACCACCACTAAGTGAAGTGTTTCAGTCAGTGCCTGCGAGGGCGCGGCTTCGGCGGACTCTGCAAACTCGAGATCTGAGGCTTGGCTGCTAAGGCTTTGGCAGTCATCTCCAGCCAATTCCGGCTCCAGCTTCCTGATCTGCTTGTGACTTGTAGAGCTACTTTTGATGCTTGGTGCTTTAGAGTTTCAGAATTGATATGCTTCTCAATTTAAAGCATAAAGCAGAGTTCAGCAGCAGTGAGTGAAGATGCCTCGGTCTCGATTTTTCATTTGCTTGCAGCTAAGCAGCGGCTCCATATGATCCGGAGGTGCATCACATGTGGGGAGGCCTGACACTGCACTCTGAGGCATGAGCAGCTATAAACAGATTCTACTGTAAAAACATCCTTTGGAACGCTGATATCTGCCCCGGGCCTAGCAACTCCTACCAAGAGGAGACAAGCCCAAAACGGATTACGGATTGCCAGTGCTTTGCAAGAGACTGCCGACTTCTGTCGGGTTTGGGGACCCTCCCAGCTCCGCAGCCGCAGCGGCCTGCATCTTGCAAGGAGGGGCCCCAGGCAGGGAGATCTTGCGTTTGGGCTCTGTGCCCCATTTCTGGCTGGAGGTTCTTCCATTTCAGGTTTCGAAAAAGCATCATAGTCTTGTAAAAAGGCACCAGATGAAGCCACCGGAACCGACACTTGAACAAAGTTGCACTCGGTCCGTCGTTGCAGTTGGTTGCCCTTGAAGTGGTTTGCATAATGCCGATCTTTGAACCATTGCAACCCAAGAGACGTCCGAGAAGAAACAAGATTCTGAAAAAGAAAAAGACTGTAACCCGCACTGACATCCATCAGAGCCGCATCGGAGCCCTCCGTAGCTTCTGAGGCAGCCCCAGCTGAGGTGTCGGTGGTGACAGCTTGTTCCTCAGATATGATTTCTGATAGGAGCTGACACTGTGGAATTCGGCTGTTTGGAGCAACGTGGCAAGGCAAGCGTCAGGGGGCTCCTCAATGCTGGAAATGAAGCACCTGTCAAGCTGTCGGAAGCATGTAAGTCGAAGAAATGAGGAGCAGGATTTAGCTGCCTTGCGCCCGGCTCGAATGCAGGCGCCAGAGGGTTGAAGCTCGACCTCGTGCACTGCTGTGATGTCTCCACGTAACAATTTAGCGGCCCTAGCGCGGCTGTGTTTTTGAAGCCTGAGAGGTGATGCAGAGGGCGACAGCATCGGCAGTTGAGGTGGCTCAGGCGATTGAAGCGACACCGGCTCCTCCGAGGGCTCGGACTCCTGGGGGGCTTTGAGTATGGGTGCGCAGCCCTGTTCTCATTCATGTTTATTTGAAGCCCGGAAATATGATCTAGAAGGTATAGCTCTTGCTTATAAACCACTGTCGACCATTTTGGGGGGCTTTGGTGGGTGGAGCTCCCACAGGGACCGCAGGATGTCTGCACCGAGGGATTGGCCCACCTGGTAGCAGAGTCGAGCAGCTTAAGGGCTTGGGGTGAGGAATAGGCTTTGGGGCTTAGGATAATTTGGTGTAGTGTAGTTCAGGTTTGGTTAAGTTTAGGTTTATCTTACTGAGCATAGGGCTTCGTGAGGAACATAAGGACTAATTTGCAGGACCGACACCCTAAGAAGGACTGCTTCACGAAGAGGATTACCAGGGGGTCTACCTGACCATGATAGAGGTCCACTGCCCCTGAGACACCAGGCCAGGCACACTGTAGCCTTTCATCGAAGTTGATCTCGGGTCATTCAGGTGAGCTTGTTGACGCCAGAGGTGTCAGGCAAATAAGCTTTTGATCTGGTGCCAAGTCTGGAAGACAGGACTTTGCGAGGCTTTTCATGATGACTGCCCGGCACCCTTTTTGAGGGCTGATTCGGGAACCCAGCGATGGTTCTGAATGAAGGCCACCTCACAAGACCAGGCGAACCCCAATATAGACCCCAAGTACTATAATTAATCCTTCTTTCAGGACCCCCGCAGAGGTACCCCCAACTGTGGGAAACCCCCATATCCTCTCACGTCTAACTTGCCTCCAAGCTGAGAGGTTGAATCCGCTGTCCTTCCCCTGGTGGCTCTTCCTGTACACCTGCGAGAGCTCCAAAACAGCAGACACAACTTAAACGGGGGCTTTGCTTGTGCAAGCTCATAATAGTAAGAGTAACGATACTAAGTAGCAGTACTAGCAATAATAGTACTGGCACTACAGTAATTACTAGCAATAGAAATGAACCACCCGAAGTGCCTTCGGTCTCCTTGCTCTTGGGAGTTTCCACTGGATCGGGAGCCTCTTAAGGGCTTAGCTGCAAGCTTGATTCACACACCCTGCTTGCCAACAAGGATCCTGTGGTGGAATGTCGATCACTTCTGGAAGCCAGCTGCCAGTGTCCCAGTCGAATCGCAGAATGCACGCTTGCTCGGTACCATCTGGGAGCTGTCGGATGCTTCCAGGAGGTAGCGATGAAGTCGCACTGCCTGGGATCTGAATCCGTTTAGACCCCTTCAGGCTGCTCGAAGCCTTTCTGGGCATCGTCCAGCTGCCACTGTCAAGGCAAGAGGCTGCTCTGAGGACGCTTGCGCTGCTGCGGCAAATTCTTCAAATGAAGTGCACAGCCCGCCTGTTCCAGGTAGTGCAACAGTAATCTCACAAAGCCACAGCTCCAACCCCTGCCTGCTTTGCAGCGCAGCTGTGAGGCGTGCACCTCGGTTTGCCATGAAAAGTGATCGTAGAAGCAAGCGGCATGATCGAGCGACTCTTCATTGCCGAAGCGACTAGCCATTTGATACCTGCCCTTGGTGGCAGGCTTGGTCGCTTCTGCAGCCAATGCTGCCCCAACTAAGCGGCGGGCCACTTGCTGCGGGCATCACAGAAAACCCGTGCTCCAGTCTTGCGCTTGGGGTCTATGTCACATGCATCCAGCGTTCGTATCAGAGCAGGCGGGTCAATGTAGTTCTGCTCAAGCCGAACCTGACCAGGCAGTTGCGGGACAATCGCCGAGGATCCTAAACTCCTAAATCTTGGGCTCTTGGGCCCTGGCCCACAACGGCGCGGAGTTGCGCGGGCCCGCGCGGCGTGGGTAGGACAAGGAGCCTGTTACATCCTCAGGTAGGCTTTGCACATCTTATGGCCAAAAGAGGGACTTTATCAGCTTGCCAACTTAAGCGCTCGTTGCTTCTGGGCGTCGTGTGCCTGAACCACGGCTGTGATGATGCTCGCCGCGGCCTGTTCAAAAGGGTTTTAATGTCCGGCATGAATGTCTAGTAGCGGTGGTCTCACAGAGGTAAGTCCAGACATGTTGTAGCGTGACCGGCAGTGATGGGCAAGAGACAATCTGAATCCGGGTTCGTGAACTGCGCTCAGCTCTAACATAATAAGTTGAATTTCAAGCAAGAAGACACTCGGCAACGTTGGTAGCAAAACGCTCGCACAAGGATGGCAGTTATAGTGCATTGTTGCCACGTAAAGTTTGGCCGTGAGCCATTGCTGGAGTCAAGAAGAGCCAGCTTGCATTTGATTTTGCCATGTTTAAGACATAAGGCCAGTATAGCCCGACGTCGGGGAAAAAAGTCCAGGCCTCCGCATCAAGCTCATTGTGCGACAAGTGGAGCTCATGGAGCAAACCTCTGCAGTACATAATCATGTGCAATCAGCAATGTTGTCCCCTGACCGTTCAACATCACAGGGTTAAGGATGCTTTTTTGGTTCTGACAAGGATAAACACCCAAAAGGTTGCCACCATCAAGCTCTAGGAGCCTCTGTGCAGAAACTCTGCAATGCAGGAGCCTGATGTCGAAGCATGCATGTGAAGCTGTCTAGCTCAGCCATGCCGTGCTGGGCCGGGACCATGACAGGCAAAATTGCAACACTGTCAATTCATACAGAGTTTTACTCTGGGTTTAGGGTTTATGCGGCAGTCTTCGAGACACTGCGGCCGATCACTCGAACGCAGCAATTGCAATTTAATTGCCAGAAGCCATACCAAGTACGTACCGGCGCCACTGAAAATACAAACTCCAGACTGCCTGTAGTCGTCTCTGAACGACTGGAACATAACGCGGCGTGGAAACCGGGTCGAAGCGTCTCTTAGGAAAAGCGTGGTGGATTTAGGATTTGGGAATGGGGAACCTACGGAAAAGCAAATGGAAACTGCTCTGGCAGCGAAAGCTGGCTGAGCCCTGAACCCTCCAGACACTGATGTGCGAGATGGCAAACCAAGCAAGCAGTCGCCAACCATTACACCTTCCTACCTACGGACCCTGGTGTCTTCCTCCTTAGGGGACCATTTCAAGTTGAGGAACTGATTGAGGGAGAATGAGGGCTTCCTAGGGCATAGGAAGGATCATTTGGTGCTTTCAATCCGGGGGGTCATTTTGGCGAAGGGGGACATTTGGATCCTGTGAATTTATTGGTTCTGGTTCTGGTTGACCCACACCGCAAGCAAAACCGGACCTTGACAACGTTGACCTCAAGCCCTAGATTTTTAGAATCCTATCTCCAGAACGCAACCATAGTGCCGGCATGTTTGGCAATGCAAACAAGCGGAGGTCAAAACAGGGAGCAGGATCTATCTTGAACCCTTTAAATGGCAATGATCTTTGCGGTTTCAGCGACTTGTGGCTAGCAGTGGGGCTGCATGCCTGACTACTCGAGGAAGCTCTGGCTGGCATACCATTGGGGGCAGGAGCGAGGGATGTCAAAGGAATGAAGCAGAAGAAACCCTCAAGGCCAACCTCTTATGGCCAGCACGTGCCTTCAGTGATTCTGTTGTGATGAAGCTTCAGGATGCGCACTGGCACTTGAAGGTCCGTTAAAGTCTCCAACAGAAGCTGGGCGCCCCGAGACGTCATCCTTGCCAGGGACGAGGCCAAACGTGATCAGATTCTCTCTCTTGCATTGCAGCACACTACCGTTCCCCTTAGCCGACTTAATTATGGTTATGATGCCCTTCCAGGCAAGTTGAGAGAAGGCTTCGAGATCATCAGCCGCCCGTCCTGTTCTCCGCAAAGTCCACATGAGCATACTGCAGATTGTGGCTTGGCTTGTGACGCGAAAGACGATGCCGAAACCAGACGCACCACTTTTGCATGTCATCATCGCTCAGGCTCAGCCTAGCAGATTTGCAAGGCGAGATTGCTCAGTGCACATCAGCACATTTAACCTATACAGACCTAATGAATCACTGGGTTGCTGTCGAGGAACTGAAGGGGTGTAGGGTAAGAATAATGGGGTTAGAAAGAGATAATGGAAACTAATGTAATATATACCATATTTATACAAGGAATATGGAACCATAATATTGGTAATTGTTTAGGCCCCTATTTTTTCCGTATCATCCGCATCTTGTGCCTTTTTGCATGCTGCTACGCAGCATGCTTAGGACAAACTCTGCCTGGCCAGGCTTGCTGCAACAGACCGAAATCTCGGTCCCAAAAGACTACAGGTAATAGTAATAAGTATAGTACGTTACTAATATCATACTAGTAATAGTATGTCATAGTAATAGTTACCGTAACAGCAAGAGCATGGAACCAAGAAGCATTTGCCCAACCAACAAAAACAGGTCTAAGGTTTACATGAGCCACCTTTCAAGGCTTGAGTCCAGTAGCTGCATCTCGTCTGATGCAATGTGAGCTATAGCCTACACTCCTAGCATCCCCTCAATTTCCCCTATAATGGGCCCCCGAAAGGAGTCTAGGTTAGATCTCACAATTTTTTGTTCATGGAGCCTGAAGCGTTGTGCACTGGGAGAGTGGCTTTGACATAATGTGATACTTTTGGCCAAGCCACTTGGACATGTTGATCGTCAGCTGAGCCACAGAAGAGTCCACAGTTAAACGAGACAGCCAGGCAGCGTGCTCATCTCCTTAGCCGTGGCATCTTGCTGCTTCACATTTACTGCATCGAAAAAAGGTATCAGGTTGTAGCGCTTGACAGGTGTATTTGGAAACCTGGCAATTAGGCAACTTGACATGTACCATGATGTATCCTTCTTCAACTGAGGATCCGGAGATGCGCGAAGCTTCACCTTCGCCCGCTGCAGAAGCCTCTTGCCGTCGCAAGCTGCGCCAGCGTCCAACGTTTGATCCAGAGGTGTCTCCACCCTTCCTTTGCGACGCGCTCTTTTGCCACCGTCCCATGGAGGCAACCTGGGGCTGCTGAAGCAGCGCCCCAGGAACTATTATCTACTTCTCACCTTTGAGCAGAAACATCCAGCGGCACGCGTGGTTGGACCACAAAACAGGTACAGGGCGGTTGAGTATGAACACATCGAGAAGCGGAGCAACTGCTGGCCTCCACGGGATCTCGATCGACCTGGTGTTAGGGTGCTGCCAGGTCTGGCGCGCTGCGGCTCGTGGACTTTCTTACGTGGCTTCTCCGCCCCTCCACCCTCCTCCTCCACCCCTCCCACTCCTCCACTCACTCCGCACGGGAAACAATCGGATTAGATGTGGTGCTGCGTACAATGTGTCTGTTGCAGTAGCACTGTGATGAGAAGTTAATGTCCACCATCACAAGCCCAAATCCATGCCTGAAGTGATGGCGACAGACTTCCTGTTTGGAAGCCTGTGCTGTCGTGATCAAGGTTTCCATGACGCCGCGTCACTGCCTAGACCTTCTACGGGCGCACCGTGCTGGAGAGAAAATTGTGTAAGTTGGAGAGCTGCTGCAAAAGGCCTACAGGTTCTACCTGGGCTGCTGGCCAAGACGTGCATCTGAAGGGCTCCTGGCTGACTCTGATAATGGCTTAGGTGCCAAGCATACTTGGCATATCTTGGCATCATGCACACGCCTGCCGCGCATGGTTTGGCTTTGATAACTCCACGGCCTCCTGACGGCCAACTGGCATTGATGGTTCCAAAGCAAAAGTGCGCTCCACTCCTCCAATGCCGCCAAGAGCTGCCGCAACGTGCAGCACCCTAGACCCTGGGCTCTCGTGGCCAACTGTAGCTGCCGGTTGATCCACTTCTTGTCATGACGTGGTGGTCGCATTTTTGCGGACCAGCTGTCTTGTGCTGTGTGATTGTCGGATAGTCTGTTCTTTGCGCAAGGAATCCTTCAGCCGAAACTTGTGGCAAGCACGCCCTTCAGGAGCGTTAGTGCTTGAGCCTGGGCTCAACTCTCTGCATGTCATGCTTCAATGCCCATTTTGCGCGAGATCCGTGCTGGAATCCACTGAGCTCGCCATTACCTCCTAGCTTGCAATCTACCATCCGAATTTGCCCCAGGTTGCGCTGAAACACGGCACCCTCAAAAGGAGATCGCATGCAGCGAAAACTCGTTTCACCATTGGGCTGAAAACAGGCCACCGCAGGGAATCTGCTGGCCCTTTGCAGGCAACCGGGCACCGACTCCGACCGGACTTACTGAGGTCAAAATGAGTGAGATTGGAAGATCTCCTGCTGCTTTGTAATATCTTGCAATTTGGGTTTACAGGAGCGACACCTCCAGGGAGGTTTATCACCTTGCCCTCGACCGTCGGGTGCTAAACCGGGATACCGAACGTGCCTTCTGGCAGTTCAAGTACCCGGGAGACCTGAAATCCTGCTCTGGAAACTTTGTGACCCTGCGCTCACGATTTAGGGTCATACATACCCCTACTAATGCAGACCTAACTTTTGTCACATGAGAGTCTTTTGCAAGCCCAGAGCCAGGCACAGGGTACTCGCTATCACCTAAAAGTTGCGCTGCCCTGCCATCGCAGAATTGGTAGGGCGCTGTAGCCTTGCAAACGTGCCGTAGGGCAGCACAGGTTCCTCCGGATCTGAACGAGCCAATGGTTTAGGAAGCAAAGTTTCCCCAAAAAGGGGACCCCAATACAGGCCCCCAAATACTATAATCCCTATTTTTGAGACCCCTAAAAAGGTACCCCTAATTTTGGGAAAGCCCCATGTGGCTCTTGCCAGCAAGAGGAAACTGCCTGAGGACTTCACGTGCCTGGGCCCAGCAAAGAGCTGAAGGCCGGGTGAGCTCAAGCCCGGGCTATCTATTCAGCAAACCCCTAGAACTCCAAGGACTCAAATACTAGGGCTTTAGGGCCCAAATACCAACAATATTACAGTATTTGGGCCCTAAAACCCTATTATTTGGGTCCTTGGACCCTTAGGGAGCAGCAAACTGTAGGTTTTGCGGGGAACGTCGCTGTCAGCCGTGGAGCTCTGATTGAATTCAGATCGGATGCGTGTCACAAACCAGGATGTATGCAATTCGATGATGCAAGCAGGTGATTTTACACGGGCGGTACTGCTCTAGAATACTTCGAGGCTTGCATGCCTTCTTGGGTGCGGCTCACCCCAGACTCGCTGTCACGGGATGGGCCACCCTGGTTTGGACCTTCTCATCATACCTATTGCTTTGTTTCTTCCTGTCATTGTGGGTGCTCGCCACACTATTCGGACGAATGTTAAGCTTAAAATGCTAAGGAGGGGTGATTACACGACCCCGTTTGCGAAGCCCCCTTCAGCTAGCTTGCCTTCCTCCATTTCCATCTCATAGGCCGGCGAAGACTTTGGCGAAGATTTCCGCAACCTTGGAAGTATACATCGAATCTTTCTCTTCGATCGTGCAGCCAGAGTGTACCAACCGATGTCCAGCCATGCTCCTGGCGCCGCCGATGGTGAGCGAGACTTGCGCCTACTGACAGACTGGCATCTGAAGCCGCATCGTGAGCGGGGGATCTACGGTCTAAGCTGTGGGCATATCACTGCCCAGGTCGCTCTCCCCCCGTCGCCGTGGAGAGCTGCTTCGATCCATCTGGCGTTTCGAAGGTGTATAAATTTCACGACATTCCAACTTCCACAGGCTCAGTGCGCGCGAGGCCTGGCCAGAGCGACGAGAAGTGGCCTCGGCCACGGCCAGTGCAAACACAGAAGTCTTCGTGTTCGCGCACGTTCGCCAAACGCGGATAGCCCCTGCAGAACTACATGCAGCCAAAACTTTTTCCTGCCAAGCAGCTCGAGAGAGACCATCGTCACCAGTTTCGCTTCCTTTTCGCTCACTTTCAGCGCCTCGCAAACTGAGCCTATACTCTGGATTCAAGTTAGGCTTACGAAGCTTCCATCGGTGAAGCACACGCAAGAACTTTTGGGCAAGATGCCTCTCGGCGGCACCAGCATAGCCTAGGGATCCCCTGGGGACCGGACGAATGCGACTCCTCCGCTTGCTGGGAGAGCTGCTGCCTCCACGACCCTGAGAGGCGCCAGCAGATGCCACCCTTGGCGGGGGCAGACTCTAGCATGCTGCCAAGTTCAATTGTAGATCGCATGGGCTGCCTGCTGACCCGATTTACTCCCTGCGGAAAGAAAGGCCGTGAGATTATCACAGCATGCCTTTGCCCCTCACGAAGAGGCTTAGGCACGAGAACGCGTGTCTTTTGCCATAGCCAGATGCGAAGAATGCAGCCACAGCATTAGAGCTGTGCGACATTTGGCTGAAGGAGACTGCCATCAATAAAAACTTTTCTGCTACTCAGTTGCCACGGCTTGACGAATTCTTGCATCAGCCGCGGGGAATGATCATGATCCACGAGTGGGTGCCATGCCCGTCGTTTTGGTTTGAATCTGCCACAACACATGAGGCCTCACATGTCATCGGCACTCGAGATGGTTCTGCTATGTTCTTCTGTGTGGCAGCGGAAGGCACCGGCCATAATCAGCGAGCATGTTTTGCTCCAGTCTTTTTCTGTCATCTGTCATGTCCTCTCGAAAAGCATTCATGATCAACCACGGCCATGCTGATACACGCCGAAAATTCTTTCATTGCGTTTGTGGCACATGCTTCTTTTGGATCCTACAGTCGTGAAGTTCTGGGTTTGGGGATGAGTATAATACAGTCCGAGAACGGGGTCCGTACGGCCTGTGGCCTCTGCGTGCATTGTCGAAGTGTGTCCATGCAGAGCCTGAGGGGCTGGCGAGTTTGATCGATCCTTAGTACAGCGCACTGACATCAGCCCTGAACGGTATTGTCTGAGTTAACGGCCGGAGGCACTAGGCCTCTGGATAAGGATCTTCTCCTGCATCTTGCCAACGGCTTGTCCAAAATTGTTTCCCCATGCTCCCCCTGAAGTCGTCTGTGCCTCTCCCCAGATGGCTCCTGGCTGGTGTGTCATTTGAGCAGTCTGCAAATCCTGCTCCCTGCATGCCGAAAAGACGGACCTTGCTATTGCATGTACTTTCAAATGCACCCTCGACTGAAGCCTAGAGTAACTGGAGTATGCCTTCCTGAAGGCATTCCAGAAGTTCAGTTTGCGGACAGCAGTCAATCCATCCAAGTGACCCGCACGGATGCCGCGAGACCCCTGGTCTCACCATTCGCTTGCTTGATGGAGGCGATCATGGTCTGACAGGCTGCGGCCAAAACGGGGGTTTCCCAAAATTAGGGGTACGTCACGGTACGTCTTTGATAAGGATTATAGAATTTGGTCTATATTGGGGTCCCCCATTTTGGGAACCTACGTCTGAGTGTCCGATTATCTGGCCTCTGTAGATGCCCTCTCGCGGACAATCTCCTTCTGGTGAGCTGGCCGCGTCCAGGACTCCTGGTCCTCTCGCTCTGGCTCCTCCTCCACCTCTGCATCTCTGCATCTCTGCATGGTGCTTCTGCTTGCAAATCTTCCCTTGGCATTCTCATGCGAAGGCATGGCCCCAACCTGCACGAGCGGAGCCGGATCAACCTGACAGTAGTCACCCTATGACATCATGCGCTTTCCTGTTGGGCTGGCAGATTTAATGATGATATTTGCTGTCCGCAGTGGGAATCTGCGCTTGAACTTTTTTTACCCAAAGGCACAGGCCTGTGCCGAGAGGTCAGCGGGGTACCTGAGCTTGCTGTTCAATATTTCCGCTCCGGTGTAGTGCGAAGCTTCTCTGAGGGATCTGGCTGCGAGCTGGACTTTGACTTGGACAAGGAAGATCCTGGTCCTGGTCCCGGACCTGCCGAGATGCCGCTTGCGCTGTGCCAAGGAGGAATGGCTTCCCAGCCTGCTTGGCTCTGCATGCTGCTCCCCATGAGGGTGGACACTGCCAAATGCACGGCACGCTCCCTCAGCGTCCGCAGGTCTTCCGGGATCTTGCCGTACCGCGAGATCCACCTGGAAAGGCAAGGTTTTCAAGCTACAGCTCTAGCAAGAAGAACGACGCAGAACAACATTGCTTACACGCCAGGCCATGGTTGAGTGTAATCAGTCATAAGGTATGCTTACACAGCATGTCACAGCCATCTCGTTCACACTTTGCCACTGAGGCTTTGGCAAGAAGACGCCGGAAATCAGGGACGAGCAAACAACCAGAATGCTGAAGCTCACGTTCTTTGCCTCAAGCAGCTAAGCAGCATCCCTTTTCATGTCCTTCATGTGCTTAGGATCCGCAACACCAAGGCCAGAGCCAACTCGCCCGTTTGTACCTGATGAATTGCAAGAACTGGAGCCATGGTGGCGGTGGCATGCGGTGGCCACAGCTTCGCCTCCATGGGTGCCACCTGAGCTGCCTCGAAGTCCATGTGGTCAAAGGCTTTGGCCTGCAGCACGGCAACGTGAGCAGTGTTGCATTTATTTGCTCTCCTCGAGAAATGGCGGCACTCTGGCAGATCCAGAAGGTCTTGGGAGCCTCCGTTGCTGCAGGGATGGTGCCAGGAAGGAGCAGCTCGTCCCAGGTGTCTTTGCCTACAGCTTCGAGGGTTGTTCGAGGAGGTAACGCGGCTACTGTGGTGCTGGGAAAGCTACACACTAAGGGCCCCAGTCGACTTCTGTCTTTGTCCTGGGCAAAGGACCAGGAGACATCCAGTGCGAAAAATGCTTGTGACGTGTCGTGTATCTCCTGTTGGAAGGAGTTCACCAAGACTCCCATCATTTGAAGCCCACAGGCCTCCAGCAGACTAAGCCGCATAAACCTTGAAGACGTGATCGACCGTGACGAAGCCTTGTCAAAGGGTGCCCTGGCTTGCCAGCTGCCACCCAAGCCGAAAAAGAGCCGGATCTGCAGGGAGTTCGACACAACGTGGACAATACATGAGTTGTTCTCAAGATTATTTATGGGCCACTTTTGGTTGTGGATTATAGTATGGGGGCACCTCATATTTAGGATACCAAAATGGGACCCTAACTTTGAGAACTACCCACATGACAATCATGCACGTGCTGAGGGGCTGAGCATCCGACCCCAACTTGAAATCGCAACTGCATGAGGATGGGTATCTCTGCTGCCTCATTGAGCTCGGGCCTACTCTGAATCTCCTCATACCTGCCCAGCTAAGGCGTAAGCGCTCAAGAAGACCGGCAAGAGCCGAGCGCTGATGTTCTTCTGTATCGTGGCATTCATATCCACGAAAACGCGCCTGGCACCGGCATGGCCAAAAACTGTAGAGTAAGATCTCCCAATTTGCAAATCCAAAGCCCGGCCCTTTCCCATAGCGAGAAAGGCTGGATCCAGGCTTCACTTTCAGTCGCCCGACATCCTCAAGGATCCACCGTTTTTTTGGAAAACATCACTCAGCAGAGTAGTGCTGAGTGCCTTGCAATTCTGTCCTGTGGCCTTGCCTCAGTGAAGCGCAACCCGAGCCACGGATCCCAGTCCCAGTTATGGTTAGTCACAGCGGGCTCAGATGAAAAGTCAGCAGTGTCCCAAACCAGCAGAATCGCCAAGCCCCAGGCTCCAGCCACGATCTGGACAATCCCGGGCCTGGCCCGTGTTACTGTGAGTGTGCACTTCAGCTAGCTGCTCAAGGGTTGTCATGGTTTGACATCCTTCTTATGCGAGCAGTCGCGGCTCCGTCCGTGAAGTCTTAAACTTTTCAGAGCCAGCTGAGTTTGTGGCTCTGAGTTGAGAATGTCGATCTTGTATGGGTTCGGGTTCTGACATTGCCTGAGGTGCCAAAGTTCGTTCCGAGGTTGCCGGCTAGAGACCGCAGAGCAGCTGCAGCTGAGGCTTTGGATGCTTGCACTGGAACCATGCCAAGTTGAAGGCACGCTGATCTGCAAGTCGACGTAAATGTCATTTGTGCCCAACTTAGCAAAGCGAGATCTCAACAGCAAGCGCAACGCAACCAGCGAGGTGCTATTGTTATGTAGGCGACAATGCTCAGAACTTGCTTGGGTCCGGAGCCCGGAACTCGTTTAGTACGGATTCCTGGCGACCACAGGTGGTCTCCCGGTACACAGGCGTGAGCCTGAGTAAGACAAGAGGTGCGGAAGGTACTTGAACTCGAGCCTGAGGGATTGGCTCCCTCCACATATTCACCTGCATGAACGTCCAGCCTCCACATCATGTCAGTGTGCAGAAAAACCGAGACTTCTCACTCCAAGGGCCGGCCTAGCACCCACAGGCCCACCACGCCAGCAAATACCCGGCCGTTGTTGCTCTCCAACATATCGTCCATCCTCTTGCACTCCACATCTGTCGCCTACCCAGATTTTGCGCTGTAAGGGCCGGTCCATTTGAGGCCATCTTGGCATCTCGCTTCTGTATCGGCTGCATCTAGACCTCCTTGCAGGCGCGCAGTTGCTGTAAGTCTGGATGAGTAGGAACTTAAAAAGATCTCTGGCAGTCTCACACCAGCCTGGCTTCCGCGAGGAAGTTGATGTCGGCCCATAACTGTCGAGCATCAGAGCTTTGACCTCAGGCTCTGCTTGCCCTGTTGAGAGCTTACTCGCGGACCCTCCAGAGTTCATGGGTAACACGTCGGTATGTCCGTACACAACTGAGTCCAAAGCCAAGTTCCTGTTGCACACTGCTTGTAATACGGGGCTTGAGCAGCAATCAGAGTCAAAGCAGAGACGTTTGATCAATTTCCTAGCATGCCTGCCAGAGGGACTCACGCAAAGGAAGTTGACTAATTGCGCAGGGATTTCCAAAAGATTCCCTGG